CAAGGTAGTGAAAAATTAGTTGTAATATCCCTTTAGTCATTTCCCGAATCGGAAGCTGGAATCGGATGCTAACTTCAGCTTCGTTTTTTATTTTTGGTCTAAACTGTGTTTTTCTGATTCACAGCCGCTTCTTTACCTAAGCTTACAGAACTCAGTCAAAAACTCACAAACTTCCTGTGGAGTCGGAAGCGGCAGACTGAGGACGTGGTGCTGAGGAAGAAAGCTCTGAGCCTGGAGAAGGAGCTGTGGGAGAAGGCCATGCAGAAAGTAGAAGGTGGGTGATGAGAGCTCAGTCGATGACGTGTGGAAGGTTTCTGATGCACCAGACGTCTGTTTATGTGCTTCACGTTGCAGATATCGATGAGGAAACGTTAAATGAGCGCATCAGGACGAAGGTTCTGACCGAACTGAAAAGAACAACGTATCACTGGACTCCTCTAAAGTAAGAAAAGTTTGTCCTCAAATTTACAACAACTTTGACTGAATAGTAAGCATTTTATGACCGAAACAAATCTCATCTAGATTATTTAATTAAACTAAAAATATTGCATTGTTTACAAACATGTAGTGTAGTCATTAATGCCAGAGTAAGGTTTTTTTTATTCAGCACAATTAAAACAACCAAAGTTTGAGTTTGACCAAAGTTCCTTACAGTCAAACCAGACAATAGTATAATAAAATGTAAAATCTTTAACCAACAAAAAGGAAAATAAATATATTAAATGGCAGCACAAGTTAAAGGAAAAATAAAAAGATGGCTCTTAAGCAGGGATTTAAAAAGTAGCAAAACCAAAAAAATAACCAGAATACTAGCTTAAAGGAGCAAAACAGCAGTAGAAACCTAAAATATGCTATTTGCTAGCTAAAAAAAATATCAAAATGCTTTGAAAAGTTGTAAATCTGAAAGCTAAATGCTAGCTATATGTAGCAAAATAGTAGCCAGAAGAAAATAGTAGCAAAAGGCTAGCTATAACTTAAATTAGCAAAAAGCTAGCTAAAAGTAGAAAATATCAAAAATGTCAAAAGGCTACATAAAAGCTAAAAGTACCAAAAGACTAACAAAAATCCAAATGAGCTAAAAGCTGGCTAAAGTAGAAAAAAATAAAATTACAAAATGGCGAAAAGAAATTCTAGAAATAATACAAAGCTAGTTAATAATCAAAGTAACAACAAATCTAGAAAAAAGCTAAAAACAAAACAAATAAAAGCTGAAGAGAAGCTAAAAGTAGCAAAAGACTAAGTAAAGCCTAAATTAGCTAAATGCTGGCCTAAAGTAGAAAAAGCTAAAGATAACAAAACGATAAAGAGTAGCTAAGAGTAGCCATAGGCTAGCTAAAAGTAGCTAAAAGGTAAAAATAACAAAAAGGCTAAATAAAAGATAAAAGTACCATAAAGCTAGCTAAAAGTAGAAAACTGCTAAAATAATTTTCAAAAATGGCAAAAGACCTTGTTAAAATGCAAAGTAGCAAAAAGCTAAAAAGAAAAATACAAGCAAGCAAAAAATACAAAAGACTAATTAAAACCTAAATTCCAGAGAACCTTGTTTTTGATGGAACTGAAGATATTTTAATGTTTTTATGAAGAAAATATTTGTAAATAAAGTAAGAAATCATGAAAAGTTTAAAAGTTACTCCATGTGAACGAGCTGAACGTTTTGCTGCATGAGCAGATCAGTGAATAAGCAGTCAGTTGTGGCGTCAGTGCTGAAGGTATGGTTAACTCTGTGTGTTTCAGCTTTGATGAGACGCTGGCAGTGGTCTACATGGCTGCTCGGCTCGCTGCAGGCTACGCAGCGGTGATGAGAGCGCTACATGAGGTAAATCTGCTGATCCAACAGAAGTTTCAAACTATCGGCCAATTTCTGTTCTTCCTATTTTTTCTAAGTTACTTGAAAAAACATTATTTAATCAACTACGTCAGCATCTAGAAGCTAATAATATGCTAAGCAATAGCCAACATGGTTTCCGCACGTCAAGGTCAACTATGTCTGCATTAATTTTATTCACTGAACAAATATGTGCGAAAAAAGGTCAAGTAACTGGTGCTGTATATATTGATTTTCGTAAAGCGTTTGACACAGTTGATCATTATACTCTCTTACAAAAGTTGATTTCTTTTCAACTTTCATCATCTGCAATACAAATGTTTTCCTCTTATTTGACTGATAGGTGTCAGGTTGTGAAACATGGAAGCTCTGTGTCTCTGCCCTGTTCCGTGGGAGTTCCGCAGGGTAGCATACTGG